GCTTTATTGCGACACTTATGCACTGTTGTCTTGGTTTCAGATTTCTGCTAACCAGAACTCCTAAATCTTTTTCGCAATCCGAAATTAAGATCTACATTATTTAGTTTTATATGTGGCATGGTTATTGTCCTGTCCCAACATTTAGAACTTTGCATTTGTCTATATTAAACTGCATCGCCACTTCTCCGACCACTGCATCAGTCTATTCAAATCTTCCTGGAGTGCTCGAATGTCCTCGTCAGAATGAATTCGACGGCCATTTTGGGGTCATCGGCAAACTGCCGATGTCGCTCTTTATGCCCCCCATCTAGTCGTTTATTTTAGATTGTGAAACAGCAGGGGGCCCAACACTGACCCCTGTGGAACACCGCTCTGACGCTTCCCCACTCTGATTTCTCCCATTTATGCAAACTCTCTGCTGCCTATTTGTCAAACCCTGCCTCTATCCAGGAAAAAATTTCTCCTCCTATTCCATGTGCTTTAATTTTCCTCAATATCTCTGATGTGGGACCCTGTCAAAAGCCTTACTGAAGTCCATATACACAATATCATATTTATTACCATGATCTACCTCCTCAATACCTTAGTGAAAAAAGTTAATAAATTCGTAAGCAGGAACGCCCCTTTTTTAAAACCATGCTGAGATTCGTTGATTAATTTATGCCCTTTTTAAGGTGGGTACGACTGCCTCGGCAATTATTATTCCATAAATTTTCCCACTATGGAGGTTAGGCTTATTGGTCTATAGTTCGAAGCTAAGGACCTGTCACCTGTTTTGAAAATAGGTATCACATTTGCCATTTTCCACTTATCTGGCACCATGCCAGTTTGTAGTGATATGTTGAAAAGATTAGCCAAAGGTGTGCTAAGCTCCTCTTTACATTCCTTTAGAACCCTTGCATACAGTTCATCAGGGCCTGGGGATTTGTTAGGTTTTAATTTATCTATTTGCCTAAGGACCATGTCACTTTGACCCTAATAGTGCACAGTTTATTACGTCCTGTTCTACATAATTTATCATTACTGGAATATCGCTGGTATCCTCCTGTGTAAAAACTGAGAGGAAGTATGTGTTTAAAAATTCTACACATTTCCTTATCACTGTCAGTGACTGACCCGAGGAACTTTTGAGTGGGCCTATCTTGTCCCTGATCTAACTTCTGTATACCTGAAAGAATCCTTTTGGGTTAGTCTTCGATTCTCTTGCAACTTTAACCTCATAATCTCTATTTGCTTTTCTAATTCCCTTTTTATTTCTCTCTTTAACTGAATATACCGATTTCTTAATTGCCCCTCTCCTCTTTTGATTTGCCTATATATGCCTCTCTTTTGACCAATCAGATATATTTTAATCTATTGTTCATCCATTTAGGAATCATTTTTGTTTGATCTGATTTCCTATTGGAACATAATTTGACTGAGCAGCTAGAACTAGCCCTGGAAAGCATCATATCGGCAACCATCACCACCTACCTGACCCCTAGTCAGGTCATTCCAGTTCAGCCCACCTAAGTAATTTTTTCAGTCCTATGAAATCAGCCAAGCGAAAGTCAGGGACGGAGACTTGATTGCCATTATTAGGGGAATTCCATGATATGTTAAAACTGAGTGATTTGTGATCACTCTCCCCAAGCTCATCATTAACCTCAAGATTATTAATTAGTGTTTCCCTACTGGCAAGAACCAAGTCAAGGAGGTTATTTCTCCCTAGTTGGCTCGTCACAAACTGTTTTAAAAAACAATCCTGGATCGTATCAAGAAGTCCACCCGACTCTAAATTCCTGTCAAATTGCTCCAGTCAATCTGTCTATAGTTGAAATCTCCCATTAGCACAACATTTTCGTATGTAGATGCCTTACGAATTTCGTCCCATAGAAGTTTACTGCACTCCCTATCAAGTTTTGGGGGCCCTGTAAATCACCCCCCAAAAATTTAGTTTTTCCCGCCCTCAGAAGCTGTAACCAAACAGATTCAGGGGTTTACGCTTTTTAATTTAATATTTTTGCCCTAACACAAAAATTTTAAATTGCCCTCTGACAACTACAATGCACCCACCCACCTTTCCCTTTTTTTGACCCCTTTCCCTTGTGGAATAATTATACCTTGAATTTGACTTCAGAGGGCATCTCTCTATTTTTCAGTTTGACCGGGCTCTTTTAAATAGCAAAATTCAGTTTTCCGCACTTGAAATTTAATTTTCTTAGCTCATCAAACTTATTTCAAACACTCCTAAAAATTAGAAATAGTAAACCTTAAGGGACTAGCCCCTTTCTGCCCTCTGCTGCCCCCTTTGTTTGCTGACCTTTTTCTTTTGGGTTTTTTATTTAAAACTTCATGCTGAATCCCTTTTTTATACATTACTGTTTCCAACCCTATTTTTGCAAACCTGCTTGTTTCCCACAAAAACAACCCCCTACCTCTAACCCTTTCCCTCAATTTTTAAAAACAAAGGGATTTCACCCAAAGGCCTTCTCAATCGAGTCCCGCAAGTGCCCCCCCCCCCCCCCTGCCCCATAGAGATGAAAACCCCATCCCTTTCATACAAAATCCCTGTTTTCCATAAAAGTTTTTTTCCAGTTGTCAATGAATGGGATTGCAAGTTTTCCCGCATATCTGGGTATCTTTATAGGAAAATGCTTTAAAAAATGGTTTTATTCTGAGGGACCTCTGCAAAAACAGTGATAAAAAATGAGGGGAGGTGAAAGTGTTTTAATGAAAGAAAGTATTTTCTTTTTGGGGATTTTCTTTCTTTTTTGGGTCACCCTGCCTCAGTGGGAGTCGGCCGACTTGTTGAAATATATATATATATATATATATATATATATATATATATATATATATATATATATATATATATATATATATATATATATATATATATATATGTGCAACAGTTAGGTATCTTTATTACGAAACGTTTCGCCTACACAGTAGGCTTCTTCAATCGAGTACAGAAAAGTTGATAGAAGCAGAAGAGACTTGAAGACGATGTAATCAGTCCATCAGACTTCGGAACAATGCTCTTCTCCGGACTGAGGGACTGACCACCTCAAAACTTTAAGGGTGATGGACTGATTACATCGTCTTCAAGTCTCTTCTGCTTCTATCAACTTTTCTGTACTCGATTGAAGAAGCCTACTGTGTAGGCGAAACGTTTCGTAATAAAGATACCTAACTGTTGCATATGTGTCTTACCTAACAACCTGTAGGTATTTTATACCAATTTAATGTTCATATATATATATATATATATATATATATATATATATATATATATATATATATATATATATATATATATATATATATACACTGATCTCTGGCTGAAGGAGACTCGAACCTACGAACCTTAGGACAAGGTACGCAGTGCTTTACCAATCTACCCACACTGGACAATACCTTGGCGGTAGCTTGCGCTACACGTTTTGATCGAAGGCAGCCAGCTTTCAGGGAGAAGGCTTACAGCTTTTCATCTCATCCCCTGCATGCATCAGCCTTACTAGAGATTTTTTAACAATGCAAGGAATTCGCGAGAGCATGCGAAATATACACAAAGGCTGATGCATGAAGGGGATGAGATGAAAAGCTGTAAGCCTTCTCCCTGAAAGCTGGCTGCCTTCGATCAAAACGTGTAGCGCAAGCTACACGCCAAGGTATTGTCCAGTGTGGGTAGATTGGTAAAGCACTGCGTACCTTGTCCTAAGGTTCGTAGGTTCGAGTCTGCTTCAGCCAGAGATCAGTGTTTGTGTATATTTCGCCTGCTCTCGCGAATTCCTTGCACATATATATATATATATATATATATATATATATATATATATATAATATATATATATATATATATATGTCGTGCCGAATAGGCAGAACTTGCGATCTTGGCTTAAATAGCAACGCTCATCTTGCCATATAGGACAAGTGAAAATTTGTGTATGCAATAATTTCGCCAAAATCATTTTGAACCTAGCGAAAAAAATATATTTCACTGTGTTTGTTTAGTATTAAATTATTGTAAACAAATCTAAAATATATTTAGTTGGGTTAGGCTAAAATGAATTGCGCTTGTTATAATAAGGTTAGGTAAGTTTTCTAAGTTCCTTTTGGTGCAAAATTATAAATTTTTACATTAACATTAATGAAAAAAATATATCTTTAAACGTATAATAGAAAATTTTAGAAAGGACTTAATTTTAAATGAGTTATTGCTAATTGACCAGTTTTACATATTCGGCACGACATTATATATATATATATTATATATATATATATATATATATTTTATATATATATATATATATATATATATATATAATATATATATATATATATATATATAAAGAACAAGCCACATGGGAATGGAAATCTTGAGCTCAAGTTTTCAGTAGCAGACCATATGGGCTGCTACAGACATGTTCTGCCTCCCCACCAGAAAAATTCTGTCAGTAACACTGAATAAAGGAAAAAAAACACGAGATAAAAGTAGCTGCCACCACTCTGGATAAAGTTAAGAAGACAGATATATTTGACAAACAAAATATATAAAAGTACATAGGAAAATAACAAAACAACAAGAAGAAAGACTGAAACACACTCTTCGAATAACAGTGCTCATGTACAAGTGACAGGTAATGCTGACTCTGCCCTCTTCTCTGGTACTATATTCTCTACAATAGTTTATATAAAGTTTATAATCTAATCTACTATACAAACATCCAATATTTTCACTCGAATATTACTGGTTTGCAATTATCACGTTTATATAGAAAGAAATATAGTATACATATATTCATGTCTTCGCACTCAGATTTTTCCCTACATAAGAAAATATACACACTACGTATTACACAATCTAATTTACACACTTAGGAAGAGGACATAACTGAGGGGAGGCAGACACAAACTACTACCCACAAGATGGCTGTGGGATGCATAATAAAGATATTAAACTAACTGACAACTGGCACTGTTCATCTGTCTTTGAAGGAAGGTACCACCAGGTCTACCTGGGTGTCGCTGTCCGTGGGTTTAGTGTCTTCAAGACGCTCGAACTGGAAGTGGTAAGGAGCAGGTTCGAGGAGCAGCAGTGTGGCATACACAAAGTCTGTGTCGTGGTCCAGCTGCAGGAGGAAAGGTCATGTCAGGTCAAATTAGCCCGAGCTAGATTAGGGCGTCAACTCTTCCATCATTACGTAGATTTCGGTGGCAGACTATCCAAACAATTTGAGCAGATTATCTCCCATTCCCAAGGCATTTATAACCTTTAGGGCTACAGGACTTCCCTATAAATGAGATACATAATTAAAGCATTTAAAATAATGCAGATGGCGAGCGTTCTTACACTACTTTCAGGTACTGACGAAGGAAGTGCCGCTGGTTGAGATCTTGGAAAGGAGCGCTCTCTGGAAGGCATCTGGCTCCTGCGACGCCCCCTGGAACCAGTCACCTGTTGGAAAGCAACAGTGATACTCCTTACGCTAGGATAGGTATGGGTCCCTATCCTTATGCCGAGCTTACCTCAATTCCCTTCAAATGGGGGGGAAGGGTTGAATTGATGCTAATGAAGACATCATAAAAGGAATTGCAGTGACTGCTACCTTCCTTGGATCAAATCTAATACACATATATGACTTAACAGTTTAATGCCTCCCAGTGAACATTATAATTAATAATAACAGTAATGGGTTAAGAAAAGCCAATTAAAGTATTTCGAGATGAAATTGAAAACCATATATGGATTAGCAACCTTTCTGTTTAGAGACATAAGGAGGAGGGAGACACAAGAGAATAGTGGAGTGGAACAGCACATGGTGGAGTGGAACAGCACATGGTGGAGTGGAACAGCACATGGTGGAGTGGAACAGCACATGGTGGAGTGGAACAGCACATGGTGGAGTGAAACAGGACATGGTGGAGTGGAACAGCACATGGTTGAGTGGAACAGCACATGGACCATAACATTGTATCGATCGCATCTGCTAGAAAAATGACAGGATGGATAATGAACCAAAACGAGGGATGCAAGCCCATGATGACTCACAGGTCACTTGATACTATCTAGGCTGGAATATTACTGCACACTAACAGCACCTTTCAAGGCAGGTGAAATTGCTGACCTAGAAAATGTACAGAGAACCATCACGGCGCGATAACGAGATTAAACAGCTGAATACTGGAGCGCTTGGGGTTCTGAACCGAAATTCCCTGGAACGCAAGGCGGGAGAGAACATGTATATACACCTGGAAAATCCAGAGGGACTGAGTACCGAACTGCACACGAAAATCACTCTACTACGAAAGCAAAGACTTGGCAGACGATGCAACATCCCCCCAATGAAAAAAAGGGGTGTCACTAGCACTGTGAAGGGGAACCATAAAATTTAAGTGTCAGGGGCCAGACATGTTCAACTGCCTCCCAGCATACATAAGGGGGATTACCAACAGACCCCTGGCAGTCTTCAAGCTGGCACTGGACAAGCACCTAAAGTCGGTTCCTGATCAGCCGGGCTGTGGCTCGTACGTTGGTTTGCGTGCAGCCAGCAGCAAACAGCCTGGTTGATCAGGCTCTGATCCACCAGGAGGCCTGGTCACAGACCGGGCCGCGGGGGCGTTGACCCCCGGAACTCTCTCCAGGTAAACTCCAGGTAATGGAGTGGAACAGGACATGGTGGAGTGGAACAGGACATGGTTGAGTGAAACAGCACATGGTGGAGTGGAACAGCACATGGTGGAGTGGAACAGTACATGGAGTGGAACAGCACATGGTGGAGTGGAACAGCACATGGTGGAGTGGAACAGGACATGGGGGGAGTGGGGGAAACAGTACAATGGAGTGGAACAGCACATGGTGGAGTGGAACAGCACATGGTGGAGTGGAACAGCACATGGTGGAGTGGAACAGCACATGGTGGAGTGGAACAGCACATGGTGGAGTGGAACAGCACATGGTGGAGTGGAACAGCACATGGTGGAGTGGAACAGTACATGGAGTGAAACAACACATGGTGGAGTGGAACAGCACATGGAGTGGAACAGAACATGGTGGAGTGGAACAGCACATGGTGGAGTGGAACAGCACATGGTGGAGTGGAACAGCACATGGTGGAGTGGAACAGCACATGGTGGAGTGGAACAGTACATGGTGGAGTGGAACAGCACATGGTGGAGTGGAACAGCACATGGTGAATGGAACAGCACACGGTGGAGTGGAATAGGATAAGCAAACATACCTTTAAAGGTAAACTTGATCCAGGTCCGCTGTGGGGGAGTGTCCATGCACTCCCTAACGTCGAAGGGGTTGATCTCGAACGTCTCGAAGGACGTCTTGAAGTGGAGGAGGTTGACAATGTGGCGGTAGAGGATGGAGTCGGGGTCACTGTCATTGTACACAGTCACGTCAATGCTTGCAGGCAGTGACGTACCTATTGTCTCCCCGTCGATTTCTGTCCCCTCCTGTGAAAATTATTGTACCGATGATCGATATATTATATTCAGAAATAAACCGCTAAAATTGTTAGGAGGAGTAATGGTATACGAGCCCTACCAGTCAAAAGATTACTTTATAGAAAATAGTAAAGCCAAATCATATTTTTTCTAGTAGCATAAATGCACATTTTAACCTAAAAATTGAGGTTTGTCAGAAAATACTTGAAACTGCATTGAATCATCGAAATATTTAATAAAATAACGTCAAGGGTCAATGTACCCCGGAAGACCCTCCAGGTATAGAAAAATGTGCTAAAACGTTATTATATTTTTAAATATTTGACTTTTTTTTTTTAATCTGTACGAGTCATACAGTGCTGACCTGCATCAATAAATAGACCCATTCTTAATACAAGGAGTTAGGCAACAGCCATACTGATAGACAACTTTCTTCCACACAATATCTCATTCCCGACTTACGAGGAACTTCTTGCATCATCGCTCACTGCACCGAGAAAATGGTATGTGCAGTTCACGATATTTATTAGAGGAAGCTTTTTCTCACTCCGCCACATCAAGATGGAAGACCACAATTCATCCCGTTTTGTAGGGACTCTCGCTACTTTCCCCAAAATACAAAGATTTCCCGGAAAACTAGGCTCCCCATCACTCCAAAACCCCGAAATTACTTTTCTCTCCTCACCATTTGCTCTTTCGAAGCCAAAATTCCCTTCTTCTTTCAATTACTCAGATATGGTAAACACGAGGAAATTAAATCTTCATCAGAGTACAAAACAAATTCTGGCCACAAAATAGAGCGAAACACCAACGTCAAAGACCTGGGAGTGATCATGTCGGGGATCTCACCTTCAAGGACCATAACATTGTATCGATCGCATCTGCTAGAAAAATGACAGGATGGATAATGAGAACCTTCAAAACGAGGGATGCCAAGCCCATGATGACACTCTTCAGGTCACTTGTTCTATCTAGGCTGGAATATTGCTGCACGCTAACAGCACCTTTCAAGGCAGGATGAAATTGCTGACCTAGAAAATGTACAGAGAACCTTCACGGCGCGCATAACGGAGATAAAACACCTCAATTACTAGGAGCGCTTGAGGTTCCTGAACCTGTATTCCCTGGAACGCAGGCGGGAGAGATACATGATTATATACATCTGGAAAATCCTAGAGGGACTAGTTTCCGAACTTGCACACGAAAATCACTCACTACGAAAGCAAAAGACTTGGCAGACGATGCAACATCCCCCCAATGAAAAGCAGGGGTGTCACTAGCACGTTAAGAGACCATACAATAAGTGTCAGGGGCCCGAGACTGTTCAACTGCCTCCCAGCATACATAAGGGGGATTACCAACAGACCCCTGGCAGTCTTCAAGCTGGTACTGGACAAGCACCTAAAGTCGGTTCCTGATCAGCCGGGCTGTGGCTCGTACGTTGGTTTGCGTGCAGCCAGCAGTAACAGCCTGGTTGATCAGGCTCTGATCCACCAGGAGGCCTGGTCACAGACCGGGCCGCGGGGGCGTTGACCCCCGGAACTCTCTCCAGGTAAACTCCAGGTATCAACCCTCCCCCACCATACAAGGACCCTGTCATAAGATTCCCTTCGTTTTACCCCGGGTACCACCAGGATAACCCAAGAAATATGGATCATCGAGACTTCTAAATTATTTCCATGGCCTTAATATTGTCCCCCAGATGCAGCCCACACACCAGTCGACTAACACCAGGTATCTAAATTTGCTGCTAGGTATACGACAAAGGTAAGGAAACTGTCGCAATGTTTCCACCCCGCGGGAATTCGAACACCGGTCCCTCCGTGGGAAAGGAGCTTTAGTCACCACGGCCAACCGGCCACGGGGGGGTCACGTACCCCTCTCCCCCCCCCCACACACATCACCCAAACTCACGGAAATATGACAGAAATATTTTTAGTTTTTGTTCCTGCCGTGAAATTTTTAAACAATAGGGCAGCCACACACTACGGGTGTTCCCATCAACTAAGACTGATGGTGTATGTAATATTCTTGAACTTAAAAATATACGAAAAATGGAAGGGGAACTATTGTCGTTTTTCACTATTACTAAATCAACAAACAGTATCACCTACATAAATAAACTGGTAATCTACGACAGCTTTCATGTAGTTTTCTCCGGTATCGGGATTCTTAATGTCATTCCTAGTGGAGGTCCAGCGGTCTGTTCTAATGCCTCTCGTCTCCCCATATCCGTTGAAGAAATACCTGTAAAGTACACGTAGTCACCATCACTAACATCTTTTTGTTTTATATCACTATTATCCGTCATTTCCCATTAAGCAGGGCACCAAACTTTAGTTTTTCTTCCTACGTCTCTTCATTTGTTATGTCCTCGCTCAGTCCTCTTTTCTCCTCTTCTCATTTTTCATCACATTTATCCAACATCATCTCCTCTTTAATTTTTAAGTTTATCTGTTCCTGTCACCTTCCCTCCATTACACAGGACAACAAAATTTAAGTAGTGATGAAGACTCCAGAAAACATTCTCAAAATTCTTGTAAACTTTGTATACCTCTCATACAAAATGTTCTTACGTTTCCTTAAGTCTTTTTTTTTATTACCACTTGTAAACTCAATTTCACAATGAAAATTTTAAGTTTTATGAATATACATGCACCATATGATGCCTATGTGACCTTCATCTGTGACTCCCAAGAATAACAAATCTGTAAAAAGGAAAACACATTGAACTACAAGCAATTTTAGGCTCACCAGTACACTGACATGGAAGCTACTGGACTAGAAATAAATGTTATTTGATGAAATTGTAGCCTGATAAATGGCCAATGTTTTCAGTGGTAATAATATACTTGCATTTTCTCCGGGTAGTAGATGAACTGAGAGTAAATAGTAATATAATAAACTGAATAACACATTTAAAGCTTCAATTATAAGCCTATTGGAATCTGAAAAAGACCCACTGTGACCTCTGTAATCTCTTTCTTTAGCTTACAGAAGGAGTAGGGACTACACAAACTTAACAGCTCTGGCGGCACAAGTACGTGTTGGTTCTTACGAGTCGTCGAGATGAAAGAGGTTGTCAGGGTCAGCCATGATGACTCCAGCGATAACACCACTTCCTGCGAGTGCCAAGAGTGAGAAACGTTAGGAAATGGAACGCATCATCTGATCCCATTCGTAAATCTGGTACTACACTTGCCACAGATTATCTTACTGTATATCACTGCACATTATCCAGAGGGAAGGGCTGTGAGAGAGAGAGAAGGGTAGGAGAGGGAGAGGAGAGTGCTGTGGAATAGGAAGAGAAGAATAAGGGAGGGGCCTTGAGGGAAGAGAAGAATAAGGGAGACGCCTTGAGGAATAAAACTCACCAATCACGTTGCCCAGCTGGTCGGGGTCAAGGGGCTGCATGTCGCATGCTCCAGTCTCCATGTAGATGCGGTACTCGATACCTGGTGGTGGTAGTAATGGTGGTAGTAGTCAAGGGTGATTGGGGTAGTGATGGGTGATGGTAGTAGTAGTAGTGAGATAAGTGATGGTGGTAGTAGTGATAAGTGATGGCGGTAGTAGTGATGGTGGTAGTAGTCAAGGGTGATTGTGGTAGTGATGGGTGATGGTGGTAGTAGTGATAAGTGATGGTGGTAGTAGTGATGGTGGTAGTAGTGAGATAATTGATGGTGGTAGTAGTGATAAGTGATGGCGGTAGTAGTGATGGGTGAGAGTAGTAGTCATGGGTGAGGGTAGTGGTCATGGGTGAGGGTAGTAGTCATGGGTGAGAGTAGTAGTCATGGGTGAGGGTAGTGGTTATGGGTGAGGGTAGTAGTCCTGGGTAAGGGTAGTAGTCTTGGGTGAGGATAGTAGTCTTGGGTGAGAGTAGTAGTCTTGGGTGAGAGTAGTAGTCTTGGGTGAGAGTAGTAGTCTTGGGTGAGAGTAGTAGTCATGGGTGAGAGTAGTAGTCATGGGTGAGAGTAATAGTGATGGGTGACGATAGTAGTGACGGGTGTTGATGATAGTGGTGGTGGTAATGATAGTGGTTTGGTGTAGTTTGGTTGGTAGTTTGACTGTGGCCGTAAAAGTGAAAATGATTCGGGTGGTCATGAAATGACAGTGGTAATAATGGTAATAATGGTGCCATGGTTGTAATAATGATGGCATTGTTGAGGCGATAATGTAATTACTGGAGTATACATGGTAATACATGGTATACATGGTAATAAAAAGTAATAGTGCCAACACTGACAGTGGTATGGGTAATGGTACAAACTTGTGATAATGGTGGCATGGCAACGATGTTAATATATCCCAACATTGATAATAATGATAACTGCACCAAAATTAATGTCAAAAATTAAAAAAAAACATCAGATACCTATACATAAAAAGTCAAATATTTACTGAAACTAAATATTCATCTATAATTCAAAATTTCATTTTGGTCAATCTTTTCAAAATTCACAATCATACTAAACAAGATACAAATTAAAGAGGATTTACGTAGGAGAGACAGGAGTCATTTCAGGAAACAGGATTCTCTGTAGGAGGAGGTAAACTCCAGGTACAGAAATCCTTGTAGTAATCTCATGGAGTCGTAGCAGAGACTAAGAACACTGGTCCGCTACAGGAAGATAGGATAATGTAATAGGGTTCAGGAACAGCCACAGGAGCCACGGTAGGATTTATGACCAATCGCAGGAACCACGGTGGGATTTATGACCAGACATAGGAACCACGATAGTTTTTATGGCTAGACATAGGAACCACGGTATTATTTATGACCAGACATAGAAACCACTGTAATATTTATGACCAGACGCAGGAACCACGGTGGGATTTATGACCAGACATAGGAACCATGGTAGGATTTATGACCAGACACAGGAATCGAGGCAGAATTCAAGACGAGGCAGGAAGCACGCCAGGATGCCGCTGGCCACACATTCCACATCGAACCCTGAACGAGCCTCACCGGTGTTGAAGTCGTGAATGCTCTTGTAAGCCTGGGTTTGTTCAACAGCATCCATATCTGGGTTAATGTCGAGACGCAGCAGCTGTTTATAGTTGTCGTAGTACATCTGTGAGGAGAACGTACATCAAACAAACAAACAACGAAAGAATGGCATGTAAAACAGGAAGAATATTGGAATAGAGACAAAATACAGACAGTAGGCCATTTTATTGCAAAAGTTTCGGCCCTTCGTTATAGTAAACGTTCTCTGTTTGCATTTCTTTTCCAGTAACAATGAAAGAGAAACATACATAACAAAACCACAAAGAAACAATAAGAGCAAAGCTGAAGTTAGTTTAATATGTTTATTATGCACCCCAGACCCATCCTGTGGGCGGTAGTCAAAAGATTACAGAGGTACATAATGGGTCCAGGGACTGGGCCCCAAAGATTTGATAGCTGAACAAGTTACAAAGGTAATGAACTCCAGGTAGATTTGGTCACAGTTATGACCAGATCTACCTGGCCTTCCCAGACCATGTAGTTCTGGTCATAATTGTGATAACATACTCAGGCCCTGATAACATACCCAGGCCCTGAAGATGGTGGTTTTAACTTGGTGCTGGATGGAATCATACGATGGTACGAGCGTCTCAATGAACACTTGGAAGTTATCGGAAGGAATTTTAGGTGGGTCGATCTTGCTAGGATCCATCGTCTCTCTCCCTTTGCATTCCAGACCGTCTTGTACCTGTGATCCCAGGCCAACATTAACATAGGGCAAGTAATAGTAAGGGATATTCTAGCTAAAACGAGCCAAATCTGCCCACAACCCTCTAGTCAAGGTTAGGTATTGTTAGATTAGAGAATCCTAGGATCGGTTTGATTAGGTTAGGATATTGCAGGTTATGTTAGGATATCCTTAAATTGGTTTGGTTATGTAAAACTACGTTTAATTTGATTGGGTTAACGTTGAGGTACATTATAGTATAAACTAGTGACAGAATTTAGCCTTGTATCACAGAAAAAAAAATTACACGATCACACCCATTAATCATTAATAGAAATTATGGAAAATAAGAAAGGCTAATGAACTTCATACAACCTATTAGTAATAAAAATCTAATGGTTATAATCATAATTAAAATTTTTAAAGGTGTGGAGGGGTAAGCCAGTAGAAGGCCTCTGTCATTTAACCAAAAGCTCCAGCTGCGGTTCATTTAACTAAGACCCACGTCAAGAAACACCGTCCGTCCTGATTATTTTCTCAACTAAACATCGCAAGCCAGGTACCCGACTGACCGCCTCTTGGGTAATGGCTTACCAGAAACTCGAATTTTCTGTTGTTGGCGACGTAAGGTTTGAAGTCCGTGTACTCATAGAAAACTTCTTGGTCGATTTCTCCCTCAGCGGGATTCCAGGGATTTCCTTGCTTGCCGTTCACCTGACGGGAAGAAAATACCATCAGTATTTGTTAACCTCAAGGTCTGCGCTCACTCGTACGACAATGTGATTTGAACAGTGTGACCTGATGAGATTTAGTAAATTGTTAACCTTCTTCTCTGTGAATATTGTTACTTGGTAGAGACGTTACCAATCTTCACACGAGATATGCATCACCTGGTCTCCAGGTACTGTACCTGGAACCTGGCGACAGGTCTCGAGTCCTCCTTTATATACATGACATATAGTAAACAAACCCTCATACATTGTACTCGGTGAAAAGAAGAAAACATATTTAGCATGACTCGCACCTTGGCTGTTTTAGGACCAAACAGCAATGGTCCAGTGAAGACTCGCTGTCCATAGTTTTGTAAAGTGTAGTTACTGTAATATTTAACTTCCAAAAACTCAAACCTAGATAACCGTTTTTCCTTTTCTGAATACACCTTCATCAATATTTCTAACCTCAACCTCCAACAGTACATCAGGACATATTAACCACTCGCCTCTGCTAACACCGATCTAAAACACTCTTATGTATGCTGAATGTTTAAACACCAGTTAATGAATATCTTTCTCACACCCTCGTTCCAACTTTCTCCTGTTATTCCCTTCATTTTTTTCCAGCCACCGTTATTATTATTATTATTATTACTATTATTATTATTATGATTATTATTATCAAAGAGAAGCGCTAAACCGCTTCCAGCCACTAGATTTATATACCCTAATCAACCAATATTCGTCAGTCTTTCTACATCGTAATCAATTCATCAGTCTTCTTCTTTGACTTACATCATTCATACAACTATATCATCTTGTAATTTCTTGGTTAGTCCCTAAATAGTATTCTAACCGCACAATGATTCCAGGCGAGTCCACAGCCATCAGTATTTTCAGTGTTGCAACATTTAAAGGCCATTGTGTGTTACTCGTACAAGAGCGTCAGCATCAGTACCTGACCGCTGGATTGCATGCGGCCAGCAGTAGCAGCCTGGTTGATCAGACCATGATTCACCAGGAGGCTTGATCAGGGACAGGGCTGCGTGATCCACCAGAATACCCTTCAGGTATTCTATTTTTGCCTTTGTTTACCATCTTCATGCCTTTCATCTTTCATGCCTTTCATCTAAATTGTGATTTATATCTATCATAGACTCCTCTATTTACATATTCTTTCTCAAACAGTGTAATGTTTATTGTACAAACAGCGTTCCTCGCTGCCTAGGATGACCCGTAGCTACCTGGAGGTTACCTGGAAGTTATTCCGGGGATCAACGCCCCCGCGGCCCGGTCCATGACCAGGCCTCCCTAGGTGATTGAAAATACTAGGTTCAACTCTGCGAAATTTATGGTCAAGTTTCTCAACTTCGCTGTTGTCCCTCTTCACATAGCAGTTAAAATAGGTACTGGGAGTTGACCTGAACAGCCGGGTTGTGGTTCGTACGTTGGATTGCGTGCAGTCAGCAGTAACAGGCTGGTTGATCAGGCCCTGATCCACCATGAGGCCTGGTCACAGACCGGGCCGCGGGGGCGCTGACCCCCGGAACTCTCTCCTGGTAAACTCCAGGTATTGTGGGTCGCATCCTGGGGAAAATATGCTATGGTGTGATATTTCTGTGGCATCTGTTCGAGAATTGCCAGCCCTCTTGAAAGGATTCAAATGTTGCGTAAAAGTTTATTTATACGCAATGTGGTGCGTATAATAATAATAATAATAATAATAATAATAATAATAATAATAATAATAATAATTCACCTTGACTAGGAGCGGCGCCGCCAGTTTCACTCCCTCCAGTTCGTGTCCATAAGGCATCAGCCAATCATCAATGGCGAAGTGAAAATCCAGGGTGTGGTTGTCATCGTGTTTGATGACCCAGTGGTCAGCCATAATTCCGCGGACTAGAGTTTGTCCTATGTAATCCTGCGCAGGAGAGGGAAACGGCATTACTCGAGGTGGTGAACGAGATCAATTTGTTAGTTTTGAGTTCCAGTTGGACGAAACAGCGTTCTGAGGACAGGTATGAAAATAAAGACAGAAACTGCAGAACAAAATATTTTGGGGGACAAAGTTCAGCTCTGTGCAGAGCATTTAGCTCGTTTTGAAAATTTTGCTCATGATTTCGTTGAGTACAAGCTCTTGGTCACACCTTTGTTGGCTGCTGCATTAAAACTTTTAAACCCACGAATGACTTTATTAATCATTGACGTAAAAAGTGTAAGAGTCTTTGGAAATACACAGTTCTGCCAACTAGAGATATAGAACCATCAACAAAGTAGTTTATTACAAAAATAAAATTATCTTAGCAAAGCTATTGTTATAAAAACATTTAAAGGAAAAGGTAATATACAGAAATTATGCAAAAAGTATTAAGCTTCGAAAGAGTCTTACGAAATACTTATATTAAAAGAATTAGCCAAGTGAAAGGGCTCTGTACGAAAATAATTTAAGATGGTCGTCTGTGGAAGGGTAGTCGTGTCTGTGAGAGAGGGTAATTGTAAGTGATGTCTGTGAAGGAGAGTAGTATTGTCTGTGTGGGAAAGTGGTGGTGGTAGTGATAGTAGTAGTAGTAGTAGTAGTAGTATAGTAGTAGTAGTAGTATAGTAGTACTAGTATAGTAGCAGTAGTAGTAGTACTAGTATAGTAGCAGTAGTACTAGTATAGTAGCAGTAGTAGTAGTACTAGTATAGTAGCAGTAGTAGTAGTACTAGTATAGTAGCAGTAGTAGTAGTATATTAGTAATAGTAGTAGTAATAGTAGTAGTAGTATAGTAGTAGTAGCAGTAGTAGTAGTAGTGATTGGTTCTGTCTGGCTACTTGCCGCCTGATCCTTGTAGTCCCTGGCGATCCTGAGGAGAGCAGAGGGGCCGAAGAGGAAGTTCTGTTTGCCCTCGGAGGAGTGAGAATCATCGTAGAGCCATCCCCAGATGCGGTAGCCCACATGCTCTATGATCCTAAGACACAAAACTCCTTTTGCACGTTCAAATACGCATTGATATCAGGGCAATATATTAAATATTTTAGCTTATACATCCGACAGAAACCGAGGAGAGAAATAAACCGTAACAATATTCACGTTTTTCCTAAAGGAAAGCAAGAATGATTAAACAAGAATTAAAACTCACGATCCCACAGAGCACTTTCGGTCCTGGACCACATAAGTCTGCTGGGTCAGGGTGTAGTAGTTGGTCTTAGAGTAGTGGCCGTGGTCTACTATCCTCAATACTCCTTTCTCCTCCCCGATGTCATACAGCTCATCCACGTTCATAGTAACTCCGGGTTCCTGAAGATCAATAAAGAATGCAAGCGAAAAATGTTTGTGTCTAATGGCGTAATGTTGACAACAAGGAAGAGAAAGACGCGCTTTTAATGTTAATGTGACGACCTTTCCCTTGTAAAGCTTTATCTACGACGTCTCACTCTAGAGTTTAAGTCACGTCTCGATAAAGTTCAACACGGAGCGAAACGATGTCCAGATACTGGCTCGTTCTACAATGTGTTTTCTTCTTGTTAAATTTGTCATGGGCAAATGCTGAGAGTAATGGCTTTCGCAGGTTAATACGAGACAGAGTTTTGCTGTATTTCATGAAACACTAAATTCATGAGAGTCATTCAGCGCAGGGAATGAATACTCGATCCTCCATAACAGCATATTGACCAGCGTCAGTATGTTCTTGATCGCAAACAAGAGAAAGACAGATGAACTGAAATATGGATGGGCAAAAAAAAAGTAGTGTGTGATTTCCAACAATTCAGCATCGTATTCATCTCTTAAAGTGTACGGGGGATCGAACCCGTGTGCTGGATTTCCCCCACTCTGATTTTGGTACAGTGTCTTTAATAATTATTTGAAACATGAAATCTTTCACATTAAAGCGAAGAATGTAGCAATCGTTTTGTTAGTGAAAATCGGTCAGGGATATGGAGACATTTAAATGGCCTTGTGCTAAGAGACATCCTGCAGCCTTTTTTTTCTGTACATTCTGTACATTCTGTACATCGCGGGAAGAACTAAAAGCCATAAATGAAATCGAAAGAAACCCAAAGTATTTCTTCTCCTATGCCAAATCAAAATCGAGAACAACGTCCAGTATTGGGCCCCTACTTAAACAAGATGGGTCCTACACAGATGACAGCAAGGAAATGAGTGAGCTACTCAAGTCCCAATATGACTCAGTTTTTAGCAAGCCGCTAACCAGACTGAGAGTCGAAGATCAAAATGAATTTTTTATGAGAGAGCCACAAAATTTGATTAACACAAGCCTATCCGATGTTATCCTGACGCCAAATGACTTCGAACAGGCGATAAATGACATGCCCATGCACTCTGCCCCAGGGCCAGACTCATGGAACTCTGTGTTCCATCAAGAACTGCAAGAAGCCCCTATCACGAGCCTTTTCCATCCTATGGAGAGGGAGCATGGACACGGGGGTCGTCCCACAGTTACTAAAAACAACAGACATAGCCCCACTCCACAAAGGGGGCAGTAAAGCAACAGCAAAGAACTACAGACCAATAGCACTAACATCCCATATCATAAAAAATCTTTGAAAGGGTCCTAAGAAGCAAGATCACCACGCATCTAGAAACCCATCAGTTACACAACCCAGGGCAACATGGGTTTAGAACAGGTCGCTCCTGTCTGTCTCAACTATTGGACCACTACGACAAGGTCCTAAATGCACTAGAAGACAAAAAGAATGCAGATGTAATATATACAGACTTTGCAAAAGCCTTCGACAAGTGTGACCATGGCGTAATAGCGCACAAAATGCGTGCTAAAGGAATTAACAGGAAAAGTCGGTCGATGGATCTATAATTTCCTCACTAACAGAACACAGAGAGTAGTCGTCAACAGAGTAAAGTCCGAGGCAGCTACGGTGAAAAGCTCTGTTCCACAAGGCACAGTACTCGCTCTCCATCTTGTTCCTCATCCTTATATCCGACATAGACAAGGATGTCAGCCACAGCACCGTGTCTTCCTTTGCAGATGACACCCGAATCTGCATGACAGTGTCTTCCATTGCAGACACTGCAAAGCTCCAGGCAGACATCAACCAAATCTTTCAGTGGGCTGCAGAAAACAATATGAAGTTCAACGATGAGAAATTTCAATTACTCAGATATGGTAACATGAGGAAATTAAATCGTCATCAGAGTACAAAACAAATTCTGGCCACAAAATAGAGCGAAACACCAACGTCAAAGACCTGGGAGTGATCATGTCGGAGGATCTCACCTTCAAGGACCATAACATTGTATCAATCGCATCTGCTAGAAAAATGACAGGATGGATAATGAGAACCTTCAAAACTAGGGAGGCCAAGCCCATGATGACACTCTTCAGGTCACTTGTTCTATCTAGGCTGGAATATTGCTGCACCCAAACAGCCCCTTTCAAGGCGGGTGAAATTGCCGACCTAAAAAAATGTACAAGAACTTTCCCAAACCGGCACGCATAACGGAGATAAAACCCCCTAAATTTAAATTTTGGAGGGGCTTGGGGGTTCCTAAACCTTTTTATTCCCGGAAACGCAGGGGGGAAAAGAAACATAAATTAAAAACACCAAAAAAATCCTAGAGGGATAGTACCAAACTTTGAAACACGAAAATCACTCTTTAAACGAAAGAAAAGACTTGGCAGACGATGCACCCCCCCCCCAATGAAAAGCAGGGGTGTAAAAAAACCCCACGTTAAGAGACCATATTTTTAATTTTGGGGGGGGCCCGAACGTTAAACTGCCCCCCCAGCACACAAAAGGGGGATTCCCAAACAGCCCCCTGGCAGTTTTCAAGCGGGCACTGGAAAACACCAAAGCCATTTCCCCCGGATCACCCGGGCTGTAGCTCGTATGTTGGTTTTGCGGGCAGCCAGCACAACACCGGGTTAAACAGGCTGTAAACCACCAGGGGGCCTGGCCCTCAGCCCGGGGCCGCGGGGGCGTTCCCCCCCGGAACTCTCTCCAGGAAAAACTCCAGGAATAAATGGAAAATTTTCAGAAAAAAAAATATAGTTTGGGGTTAATAATTGAAAACCCGGGGCTTTTATAACAAAATTTGAAAAGACCATTGAAAAAAACGTGGGCCTTTCCCAAATTTTATTTATTTTTTCCGACTTTTGGGCTTTTGAGAAAAACACTGAAAAAGGCGTTATTTAAATTAGCATGATGCCCCCCAGCCCCCTCCTGGGGGTGGTAGTCAAAAGATTACAGAGGTATAAAAGGGTTCCAGGGACTGGGCCCCAAAGTTTTGATACCGAGCAAGTTACATCCCCTAAATCTGGTCAGAATCGGATCAAGTTCCCAAAGGAAGTGAACCATGGGGAGAGTGGGACCTCCCTTTTGGGGTGGGGGAAAAACCCCCCCCGGGGAAGCGGGGACCTACCAGGGAAGCGGGAAACCCCCCAGGAAGGGGGGACCCACAAGGAAGGGGGAAACCCCACCGGGGAAGCAAAGGGTTGCGGTAACATCAAATCGTAAGAATCTTCCCACCCCCCGCCAGATGTCGGGCATTCGGGGGTTTCTGGCCCACCGGCCGCCGCCCCCCACCACCCCGGGCCGGGCCGGGCCCCCAAACGTACTGCACCCCGTAGACACAAATCGTACCCCAGCACAATCAACTTTTTTCCCCTAAAACTCTTAAAGAAAAACCCCCCAATACCGTCTCCGGTTCCCACAAATAGCTCTGGGGAGGGCCCACGCTTGACTGTTTCGGTTTCCCCTATGGGCTCTAGGGAGGGTCACTGCCTTTTACTTTTTCCTTTTTTTCCCACTATAGCTCGGGGACGTCACTGCTTGAAAATTTTTCCCCCCCCCCTGGTTCCCCTATAGCTCTGGGGGACTAAACTGCCTGTACGGGTTTCCGGTTCACTATAGCCTGGGGGACTACGTCCTAACCGCCCGGGTTCACTAAAGCTCTGGGGGGACTCACTGCCTGTATGTTCCCGGGTTCACAATAGGCCCTGTGGGCCCATCAATTAGATCCGGGGCACCAAAAACCGACTATTGATGAAAGTTCTGGCTCCAAATTTCAAAAATAATAAAAAATGCTTTTGGAAAATTGATTAAGGGCTACAGGGACCTTCGGGGGTTTGTACCGCCAGTTTTGGGTTAAAAATTTTAAATAAAAAAGTAAACTTTGCCAGAAAAGGTCCCTCCCAGCCTGCGCATTAAAAACCCCGAAAATGCGAGAAAAAAATTTAATTTAGAGAAAAATTCACAAATATTCAAGAAAAATTAAATATTTTTCCACAGGGCAAAAATAAACCCCTATTCCCGGGCAAAAAATTTCCCTTAACCCCGGCCCTCTTGTAAAAAACTCATTCACACTAAAAATTAAACCCCAAATTTCCAACAATGCCTTTAAAAAATGATAATGTAAAAGGGGTTAACGTTTACAAATGACAAAAAAAATTTTTCCCCACTGTCAAAAAAGCTGGGCCCCAAACGTTGGGGGCAAACCCTTATTAAAACCTGTAAACCATTTTTTTCATCTAATAACTTTCCTTCCCCCAAAAATTTGTTTTTTTTAAATTTCCGAACCCCTTATGTGATCAGCTTCAAAAATTTTTTTCTATAACGGGGGTGAAGTTTTTGGGGAAAAATTGGGGATTGTTCCCTTTTTTTAGGGGGTGTTTCCAGATTTTTGGCTTTCCCGGGGATTACCCTTTTAAAGCTGAACAAAGAGAAATTAAACCCCTTAAAAACCCAATATCCAAATTGGGAAAAATGTTAAAAGTCAGTGGGAGTGCAGGGTTTCCATTTTTTTTCCCCCCCAGGGTTTTTTAATTTTGAAATGGGACATCGGAATTTTTTACTAAAAAATCTAAATTCCCCGTTTTTTTTAATGGTTTTTAAAATTTAATGGTTTACTTTTTTGTTATGGAAAAGGATAAAACGTTTGGGGGTTTTTTGCTTTTTTAAAGGCATATTTCTCGTCCTTGAAAATGCATTTTTTTTCATTAGGGGTCCATTTTTATTCCCCAAAACCTTTTGTGTAGTGAGCGATGAACAAAGTTAAATTTAGCAAAAACAAACCCAGGGCAATGAAAAAAACCAAGGTTCTGGAAAAAAAAGGGGTTAAAAAGACTGGTAATGAATGTAAGTACCGGGTAACAGGGGAGGATAGACACCTCGGACTATTTTCCTTACAAAACCCCCTACCTGGGGGGTTAGTGGACTGGGGTCGCATCCGGACAAAAACTGACCTAATTTTGCCCGGAAAAAACCCCTGCATAACCGGCAGCTTTTCTATAAAATAAGTCCTCATTATCATAACAAGCT